GCTGCAGACAAAGAGACTGCCCTGCAACAATTTGAAAAACTTAAGCTTAATAACCTGCCTACTGGCAACCCTCACATCATGCTCTTTTGACGATGAATTCGAATAGCTTGTTATTGTGAATTAATGTATAGCAGTAGTTTCCGGGACAGTACAAACAGCAAAAGACCAAAGATTGCTAGTTTATTTATGGAGAAAAATTTTGAATAGGATGCGCACGTGATTACGTGGTGAACCGGTGTCAGTGCATTGTTGCCGATTGTAACTTTGTAGCCAACCACAGGGAAGCAGATATTGCGGATGGACAGCGTTTTTAATCCTATCTGTCTACGAAAGTTATAAGCGGGCTAATTCTGGTCAAAAACCAGTATTTTCACTTTGTTCGTCCCTGGCTGTGGACGGCGGCTAAATAAACGATCGAGCGGTTGCGAGCAGAGCTTTCTTCTTGTTTCTCACGGGGGAATCTCTGTCTTGCAGGGTCCTGAACCATCAAGAGTTACTCAGTGCTAAAAACCTCCGTTCGAGCATGACTTATGGCTCGACTTGAACGTGCTCTCCAAAGTCACCCGTGCATCCATACACGTAACTTGTTAGACACACTCTTGTAAAGCCTCGTTTTAACTGGCACATAAACATCAGAAGCATAAATGTACTGGAGGCGCAGTGAGCTGTTTTCAAGTAGCTCCTTTTGTTGCGAAGTATTCCTAACAAAAGGTGCTAATTACCATATTAACCTCTTACTGCGTCTTACTCTGTTGCTTTTGCTAAGGGTTATGCTAAATGCACTAGTGAAAAAACCAGCCTCGAGCCTGAAATAACGCTAAGCTGGTCCACAACTGTACAAAAATACCAGGTTTTCGTTTGTCTTTGCTTCTGTTGAACAAGGAAGTAAACTGAACCGGAAACAGAATGACAGACGCTGCCCTACCGCTTCTACGTCAGTGTTTACTATTGTGGGTTCCGCGTTTGATTTCACCAACCAAAATCTAAATCGTACGTTATCATGTCGAGAAAATAATCAATTGCGAACAAAGCCCACTGCGTTGCTCAGATTTTGATTGGTGCAGACAAAGAAAACTGCAGCGTCTCAAAGATGCTATAGCTGATTTCACGCAATTATAAATAGCTTTATTGGCTGGAAGTCGGTTCGTCCAGTTTCTGATTTGCATAATGAAGCATTCATATTTGAGTTAGTCGCTGATACGGGGTTAAAGTTTAATTTTAATAAGGTGAGTTTTGTTTTATTCAAAGTAAGTTCACAGCAGAAGCTTCAATACATGTTTCGCACACTTGCAAAAGGTAGGACATGTTATCAAGTTAATATTTTTTCAAACCTCGCATAGATAGAGCAACTGACCATTTGAAGACAGGTCAGCGTTATCAATTAACTAGACCAGACGTTATCGGTTATTGTGTTCTCACTGTGATGTGTTATCAGGGGTTAAACATGAGGCGGACGGTGGTATGATTATTTCACCGGAATTTTATACGAGCAATGTCGTGAGCTGAGACAGGTAATCAGGAAAGCTTTTATCAGATTCTTTTGCTTGGCGATTTTCCGTTTAACTCAGCATTAGGTGGAAGTCTTTTTTGTGTTATTTAGCGCGTTCCGAGTTTTACAGTCGCTATCCCTCAGAGTCTTAATTACGACATGAAAGCACGGCCACATGCACGACAAAACTCGATTACAACTGACTTCCTTAACTGATACATATCTTAGTATTATACCTGCTCGACACAAATTCTCAAAAACGTTATCTCATGTTAATGTGTTGCTACTTAGCCACACAAAACAAGGACAGGAATTCTTAACTCGTGACATTTTTCAGTTCCGCTCTACTGCTGGACCGTAGTCAGAGCACGCATCAATCTCAGTGGTGTGCATTAAGAGCGGGCTTAACCACAAACAAAACAGAATCAGAAGGTATAGTTTCCTTCCTGTGTGCCTAAATCGGTATGGTGATTACTAGTGTTTTTCGTTGCTCAAGAAACACTGAAAACATCGTCTTTCTAGCGTTATCTTACGTACACGTTCAGTTTTTGTAAGTAGACAATTAATTTACAGGGTCTTTTTTGTGTACATAATGGTCTGAAATACCTCCAAGACCAAAGATCAGTTGCCTACAATAGAATTTCGAAGTAGAGCTGATTTATTACCAGATAAGAAGATCACGGTTTTAAGAAAGTTTTACAACTTTACTCGACAGATCATAATACATTTCTATATTACTCCTTCCCAACAGCTTCAATCTTCCACTTCGAGAAATAAAGAGTGACACAAATTGCGTATTTTGAGATACAGTGCAATAAGTTCTATGTTGGCGGACAGCGCCCCTTTGTTATGTCTGCGTCAATCATGCGCGTTATGGAATAAAGACTCTTAACTGACTTGTAAGCTATTCAAATATCAGAGGCGTTTTTATGCAGGAGTCAATGTAAACTCCCCCGGAACAAGGCAGGGATTAGTCGGGAAAAGGAGGGATTTGAGGGAAATCGCACCCCCAAGAGGGTGGGGGATTGGGGAATATTTGTATTTAACCGTCCCTAGGTAGGAAATATCTGTTTTGCTTCTGTGGCCAAGGAGAGTATGGAGAGATGATTGCCTGTGACAGCCCTACATGTCCAGTGGAGTGGTTCACCTTTACTCTCTGTGGCTCTCCTGTGCCCACTATTTGTATTTTTTGTTTTTTTTGTTTTTTTTTGTTTTTTGTATCATTGTAAACCACTTATGTGATGTTAAGTTGTTTTCTGTAAACAGTGTGCAATAATAAAAAACTGAAACTGAAACTGAAAAAAAACTTTGCACTGGTTTGTCTGCGTAACTAATGATTTTGACTACTCCGTTTATATAAGCTTGAGGGACTCGAGGTACCCTTCGCCGTTCACTGATAGCGGCTTCGCCAAAAAAAACAAAAAAACTCTCTGGCACCCAGGGTAGTGGGAAGGTACAACGCTAAATCGTATGGTTTGTGAGCTGCCGTTTAAAATAGGTTAAGAGTTTGAACATTTGGGTCAACTGAAAAAAATGTTTGGTTTGTGTGCAGTATGGTCTGAATCTGAAAAGTGTACGTTTTGCTTTACTTTTTGAAAAGAAAAAAAAAACCTTTTTCTCTCTTCGTAATTCAATCATAACGGAGACGTGCATTCAGAAGTATTAGCAATTTTAGCATCAAAGTTTTTGAAACCCTTTTAAAATGCGCGCATAAGCCATTCGGCCATGTCACTGAGAGACCTCTGAATATAGTATTGCAGGGACATGAATTCTGTGTGAGCAGGGTCTGAACTGAATCGCATGTTTTGTGTTGAAATCTTTAAAGGTTTCGAAAGTCGTGTTCAAGAGGCGGACCGAATAACCCGACTCCAAACTTTTAATTCCTCTGTGTTCTTAGTGGTTCTTAACATCTTAGTGCGTGTCATATGCAGGCATATTTTAAAATTCATGCGAGGTTGAACACCTCTATAATCCCCCCACCCCTACCCCCTGTACTTTTTAACGGTTTCGTGAATGTGCATCAGTTAACTCGACGATTTTTGTCCTGCGTTAATTAGGTCTTAATTAGAATTAATATTGAAACCTAAGACGCGCCCATTCTTTATCATATATAAATATTGTCCTGAAAGTGTTCACTTCTCTTTCCAGGACAAAGCAGAAGATGATTCAGAGCAAAATTGAGACATCTTTCTCGCAGTCGCACTGTGATGGTAATTCAAGATGTTATCCAAGATGTTGTGATGCTTCTTGGAATTCCGTTCCTTTCACCTCCCCGTGTGGAAAATTTGTTCGTTCTAGTGGAGGAGACGGGCACTTGTCTTCTACAGTCCAGAAACCAAGAAGTTGTGAGTCATTAAGATTACAGGAGTATTTTTGTTTGCACTGCTTGTGTTTACAGCCACTGAAAGCGTAAATAAAGCGAACGCGACAATGCCAATTGGTGTTGTAAATGGTAATAGGTTATCGTTCAGCGCGAGTTGGTTGAGGTTCACAGTGTTTCAGCAAGAAGAAAGGGGAAGAATGAATACACGTGTCGGTGTTGCTTCTGTCTATCACGCTGAAACACCTTGAGCCTCAATTAAGCAACTGTAAACCACTTTGTTTACCAGCATTCATGTAGGTATTGTGTGGTTTTCCCGGCGCTTTCGATGATGCCATCAGATCAGTATGGTAGCAATGTAAGACTGAAAGTAGATCGATCTGATTGACTGAGTCAATTTACCTGATGCCATAACGAAAGTTTAACTTCTCTTTCGTGAATAAAAGTAAATAGTAGGCCTGCATGACTTGAGTTACAATGATAATGTGTAATCTAGCGAAAATCATATGACATGAAAAACAAAAATTGTCCGCCATGCAGAATTGATTTACACAATTATACAGTAAAACAATGGCCGTGAAACTTTCCGTGCACTGCTCAGGCAGTCAACGAAAAGCAGGAACTAAACTGTTCCTTTAATTTACTTGTTTTCATTTACATGTAGTGGTTTTATCGTCAACGGAAGTGACAAACTACAACACTCCTGATGACTTTTTTCTTCGGCCGTTCTTGACCAGAGAAGAATTTGCATATTGGAACAGCCATTTTTGCCGCGTTCCATCTTCACGTTCATTCTTGCGCGCATTCAACCCACAAGTTACCACAACCATGACTTCCGGTCATCATAAGACGTCTTGTGTCACGAATGTCACAGATACACCATGTTGCGATGAAAGACATCAAACTGGTGTGCCAGCGGTCCATGACTTAAGTACAAACTGCTGGAGCAATACAAGATGTGGCGAAATGCCCTGCTTCCCAGAAAACATCCCATCGTCAAGTGTAGAAAAAGGATTCGCTGGGAATCCTGTCTGCTTGGAACATTTAGTTCCATGTACCAGTCACGCCTATCAAAACGGAAACCACCTTGACCTATCTACTAACTGTTGTGAAACAACGGAAAGTTATTTTGTTCAGCAAGAGGTGGAGCCCACAAAACTGAAGGGAAGGTATTTTGTTTATGGAGATGAAAGCTTTGGCAAAAAGCCTCCTCCTTTCACATCGTCTGGTTATCAGGAGGTTCACCCCAGGACTGGATCTGCTGTCCTCAGTGATTCAATGAGCGCTTATGGTGTACATTCAGAATTCGGATCAACTAATTCTTTCCCGGCTAAAAGAAAATCCATCGGTACATCAAAGTATGAAAAATTTCCCCAAGAAAAGCGAAAGAGACCGTGCGTTAGCGATGAAGTAAATGGAATTCAACAAGATCAGGCACCAATCAAAATCGAACACAAAAATGAAACTTGGAATGCTCATCAAAACAAACGCCCGCGAATCAGTGGTTATCGCGGCAAGGAGGCGAGATGCAAGATCAACGAGTCAAGTAACGTGCGCAAATCACGTGAAATAACAATGCCACCTGTTCAAGATTGCGTGGAGCAAAGCATCGATATTACCATCTCTGGCGATAACATTTCCGGATGCAAACCCGGAAGTAAAACCTTTAAAGAAACTCAGCCAACAACGACTGACTTAACTGGGAACAACAGTGACGCTGCGTTCAAGTCACGTGTTCTGCAAGCTGGTGACCAGATTCCAAACGGTCGGAACAAATCTCCTGAGCGAAAAAACATTGATGAGGTTATCAAGACCACGAAGCCTGTCCAAAGAAAGCTGATGACCAATGACAAAACCGGTGGCTGTGCTTTCGATCATGATTCCTTTCCCAAACTTGTCGGTGTGCTTAGTCCCTTCGCCGTAGCTACTGTGATGTCAAGTTTAGCAAAATAACTGCAGTGCTATGCTACTTCAAAATTACACTCTTAACTGTTCAACATGCATCCTTGTCCAAATCAAAGATCACTGCTAACGTGGTATCCAAAAAGAAAGATCTGAGAAAGAAAAAGGTTTACAGTCAAAGAGTAGACCACACTACTTAAGAAATCAACTGTGGCACAAGAGTGAAGATCGATGATGGACGATAATGCTCATTTTTGAAACTGTTTTTGTCTTAATCCTGATGAGCCCTTGTGTGTGACCAGCGGCATGCCGGAAGGCTTAAATGCAACTCCAAATGCAAGCCTCAGCATCTTACCAATGCTGGAAAGAGAACTTGTGCTTATTCACGCGTCATGTGTTTTTCTATTAAACCTTGACGTTTCGTGAACTCGGCAACATACATTTTCAAAAGTATATTCCGGGCAATGCCCCATTTTTTGTATAAATTGTTGTATTATTCAAATTCGTGGACAGACTTCTCAAATGATTAGATTGAAAACTCTCTGGACTGTATAAAATAAGAGGATGTCATGTCTGTTTGTTTTAAAATATACTTTTTTTTAACAAGAAACAAGGCTTAGATTTTTTCTGAGAAATTCTAAACGCCGAGGCAAGGATGTGTTGGAATAACGAGTGTCGAGTCGTTTGTATCGAGTGCGTCGAGTTTGCATGAAAGACGTGATGTCTTGTTCTTTTTGAGGCTTACATTCATTTGGTAAAATTTTAAAATGTGCTAAAAATTATGCCCAAGGTTGAGGTCTAGTTAAGAACAGTCTTCACATTCTGACAGATGATGAAATACAATAGAATCTTAAAACGTTTTTAAATGTACTTTGCATAAAATTGAAACATGTATTTTCGTTCCTCTTGAAAAATGAACAATTAAACAACAACAACACACTTAATGTGTTGAGTCATCTATGGGTATTGCTACGTTGCCAGACAAGCACACGATCATACTATGCAACATATGTAAGCAAAAAATTGAGAAAAAAATGTGTTAAGCCTGGTTTTCACTTCGACATAACACAACTGCTAATCACAACGTTAATGAGGACGCCCACAACACAAGCATATGCCCCAGCACAAGTAGAACAAAAAGTTTTGTTCTTCCTGTGCTTGTACTTTTGCTTATACCAAGTGAGGTCACGCTGCTACAAGCATAAGCATAAGTCCGCCATATTGTTTTACTGTATCGAGGAGGTGTGGAACGGAAAAATAAGGTAACTATCCATTCTGCACATGCGTACGTGCTTATGCTTGTGTTTTGGGCGTCCTCGCTACCGTTATACTTATGCTTGAGCTTGTGTCAATGTCATAGTGAAAATCGTCCGCCATCTTGCTTTACTGTGTCGTGGAGGTATGGAACCAAAAAGAAGGTAATTATCCATTCTGTGCATGCTTGTGCTTGTGTTTATGTCATAGTGACAACCAGGCTTCGCTATTTCACTTCAAAACAAAACAGGCTTGTAAATAAGAGGTCAAAGGGTCTCGGTTACTATCGAACTGTCGAGAATGATCAATATCTGACACACATAAAACGCTACTCGAAAACTCGGAAGCTCGTTCGAAACTTATTTTTGTTATAAACTATCAAAAATGTGATACTTTTTTCAAATTGCTTTCGTGAATGACCTGTTACGAATCTATCAGGGCAGCTGAAGACCATGTAGAGTAGACAATTTCACTTTCTGACAAACACCCAGCATTGATAATTCTCGGGCGGAAAGCTATATCGTGGTTTTAATTTTCACTTGTTTTTTACTTATTTGTTTTTCGGGAGGCCAGCCAACAGAACGTGGAATGGTTAAGACTTAGGAGCAACGCAAAGGGAAGGGAAAAATTATTGAAGTCAAAACAGAAATGTTCAAGGAACAAAAAAACTGAAAAATCTGGCGATTAGAGAGGCAAACTGAAAAAGATCTCTTGTAGCAAATTATGCGGTCAGTTTAGTGTCGTGTTTAGTTATTTCAGTTTCATTCGCTTGATTCACACAAGGTCGATTTTTTTAAAAAAAGAACAGTGACATAATAGTTTTCGATTTCAGAAATAATATGGGTCAATGATGTCCTCTAATTCAGTTTCGTCAGCAGGTCTACTTGAACGAGCCTCCACAAGTTACAGCTGACAAGACTTACGACGTGGTAAGTACAGTCAGTGATTGTGCTGGTAAACTAAGATTGGGTGAATAACCAACCCAAGTGTAAATAGTCTGTGCATAAAGTTTTAAACAGATTTAAGTGATTCATATAGTCTGCTTTGCGCAAATATATCGCTAGGAAGACTGAATTTGACTTTAAAACCCGTGCGCGTGCTCAATCAGCATTGCTCCGTCAATGTAACAACTTGAATACTGACCAGCTGGGCTTTTCACTGGGCCATTTTATTACCACTACTTGTAACTGGTTTATAGCCAGGCAACATGCGCGTTTCATATTCGTATGTTCAGACGTACTCTAGAGTTCACGTTTTATATCGTTTACATCGGAGTTTTGTCACGTTCTACGATTACACTTTGTTTGCGATAATCAAAATTATCAAGTTCGATCCAAGGAAAATAATAATGGTATTTTCCTGTCAGTTACAAAACTTCAAAAGGTAGTAATGAACTAATAAGAGGAACAATCGAAATTTGAGATAGAGAGAGAGAACAGACGACGAACCTGAAAACGTTAGGCCAAATTTTTCATTATATCACGTCTTACGACCTCAAGTCAACCGGAACAACATTTATTCGTTCAACCACTTTGGCGTTTTCGAAACTAGCTCGGTATGTTTCTTCCCTCGCCTTCATGACGTAGCAAAACAAATGGAAACCGAAATAAAGGTCCGGCCACATTAAACATGCACTTAATTGCATTGCTAAGGGCCGGAGGAAAGTGAAAAGAAGTTTGTTTCAGTTTTTACTTCTTCACTTCCGTTGTCTCAGTACTGAAGCGTTTAAGACTAACTCTTCTGCTTAGTATTTGTGGTTTCTAGATCGTAACGTTGTCAAAAAACGCAGCTAAAATATTTTACATCTTGGTTTTGATATTTTTAGCGCACTTTGTTAATGTTACGCTCGATCAACATTCTCAGTGGCGTATCATAAACAACTGAGAATGAAAAATGAAAAGATCACGTCCGTGATTTGCATCTTCAAATACCGGCGTATATGGACAAACGACTCGGGCGAAGAACCGAACGATGAAACCTCTGAGGCAACAATAAGCGAAAGAAACAAAAAGATTCACTGAGAGCCATTTCAAGTATTTGCGTATTTCGTTAGGTATAATATTCTTAAACCTTTCGCCGGAAACAGCTTTTTGATTTCTTGATTTGTTTCTTTCATTTTATATTCCATCGATGGTTCTTCGAAACGATTTTCAGAGCATAACGTTTATGTGTCATTCGTCTTATTTCTCTCGGGTTTTAAATCACGTTTTATAGCCGAAAGCATGTTGGAATGGGCATCCGTTTCCGCTGAAACGCTGAAACTGAAGTAACGGCAATTATAGCTTTTTATAAACAGTTAACTAAAGGCCGCGTTAATTTCCTTGTACATAGCAAACTGGTCTGCCTTCCGCCAATACTAGTTGAGATATATATTTATTTGAATTATTTACTTTCTTTCAATTTAAGTTGCATTCAGTGATACGTGAACGAATGCATGCACTACAAAGTTACTTGATGAAAAAGAACTGGTTAATCAGCATACAGCAGTAAAATCAAATCAGTAGGCTACAATATATGAGCATTTGTTATTCTTAATACTATCTGCTCTTTTTTCTTTTTTTAAAATTTAGTTTGCTCTGAAGAGCTTTTTCTCCAAGTGTTATTTTATCTCGTTCATTGTTGATGTTTCGGTAGTTTTGATGTTTTTGTTATCAGCCAGTTAATTATATTTTTCAATAAACAAATTGAATATGTATATCTTTTTGTACCAAACAATTTATCACGTAAACAGCACGTGTTCAGGAAACAAAAGCTACAGAATACAAGGAAGCAGGATTTCTTAACGTCAATCATCCTTTTCAACCCGCATTTGCGTTGACTGAAAAAGTAAACAATAGTAATTCTATTCATGTAAGCAGTGACTGGTCGTGTTACGATGATACTTCACTTTCCATCAAGCAACAAGAATTATTACGAATTACGAATTACCCACGTCGTAGAAAGTTTCACGCGTCGCGGGAGAAGTTCAGGACTTTGATTAACAGACTTTCTAAGATCAAGAAGTCAATTTTCAATACGCGGACGCTGTCGATCTTGCTTAACACCAATTTGCTTTGGATTAAAAGGACGCGGTAACTCTGGAAACAGCAGCCAACCTCGAGCCAACCGGAGAGGACAGTAACGTCAGCAGTCGAGAAGAATTATACCTAGGACTTTTCCGGCTTTGAAATAACATGGTTGAAGTGTTCGTTATAAGCTAGTGCAGAGAGAGGTGCCGACCACGGTGAGTACGCGTTTGGGGTCATTTTGTTGATTTTAATTATACCACGATCAGTTAATTCTTAACTCCCTCTAGGACATTGTTCTCTAGAGGTTCTTTGTCAGCCTGGGAAAGCTTTTGAATTTTGCTTCCAGTTTCACGCCACATAAATATACCGTCTGCGTTTTCAGGCGACATGATGAAATACACGGCGAAAATTTCAACGAGCAAGCTGCTGAAGCAGCTATTTGGATAATATGATATTACAACATAGTCATTCAGTCGTGAGACGAGGCCAAAGAGCATAGAAGCTCATAAAAGGAAGTGACTGACGTCGAACAACAAGACCTTCTTAAGTTATAACAGCGAACGAGAGAAATACGAAAACGATAGTGAATTCTTTGTTCTTAAAAACATAAAACTCTACTTGAATTAAGAGTGATCTCTTCAAAAGTTCCTAGCTTGTTTATATTAAGAAACGATTTAAGGCTTCCTGGAGGAAAAACGGATAAAAAAGAATCAGTCATGGTCAAAAAAGCTTAAAAAAAAAGTTATTGCTTTGTTCTGTGCATTGGCATTTTTGTCAAAAATGTTACAATATGACTGTTTGTTACAGACTGCCGCCAAGTAGAGCAATTTTATTCAGGATATCTCCCTGATTATGAGACGAGTCACTTTAGCCCACCCCCCTTGTCTCGCCTTCTTCCCTACTCGGCCACGGCCATGTCGCCCTTTAGCGTTCGCGATGATAAAACACTAATCTAAGTGACCCTTAGAGAGAAAAAAGGCTACTTGCAGTCTATATTCCTTAGAATTGCAATTGTTGTTATTTTACGCTACAAAGTTTGCTTTGGATGATCAACAATCATTAATTCAATATAGAAAAGGCTACTTGCTATTTTCTATGTAAGGAGTCCTCGCGATAACATACTCCAATTATTTCAGCTGAGATGGATCCTTGCTGCTGCACGAAATCGTCAATTTCAGGAATTTGTTAACTTACAACGTTCTGACTAAGTATGGCGTAGTAGTCATGGACTGGTAACAAAACTCTAGAAAGTACAATTTGAATTACGTTAATTAATTCGATCTCGATTATTTCGGATTTCCAGTTATTTCGTTATCAAATCTACTTCCTTTGTTCAGTCTCTTGTTTTTTCAGTCATTTACCACAGCCGTTTATTTCGAATCAATCGGTGGGTCGAAGTTGGGCTTTGCCATTTCGAACTTTTTTTGTTCCTGTTGGCTAAAAATCAGTTTATTTCGATCTCCAAAGGTTGGGTCGAAAAAAATATATCACAAAACTAAAACACTAAAATTTGACCTTTTCAATACACTTTCATCTTATACTGTAATTAGGATGTCCTCGGGATTTTCCCTGCCCGTTTTTTGGTCCTAAAAATATTCCATTCCATCATGATCTAGTTTTACCACAAACTGAAATGGGATAGATGTCACTCCAGCTAGCGAGACAAAATCAACCTAAAGATACTTAGCAGTGAGTCACGATTTTGACAATTATGGTCTGTCGAGATCACACTTCAGTAGAATCCAAGAAGAGAATTTTTGGGTTCGAGAATTTGTTATTAAAAACGTTTTGCCTGAGGTGTGAAGCGACCTAATGAAACGACAGGCGAAAATTTTAAAAGCTAATAATATACAGTGAGATCACAAGGAAGTCATTCAGTCCTAAGAAGGGGGCAAAGAGCATTGAGGAACTGAGAGATTGATGACGAACGGCGAGACTTTTTCGAAGTGATAACAGCCAAGGACAAAACACGAAAAAAACGTTTTGTTGTTAAGGATATGAATCCCCCTTAAGTAAATAGCGAGCCATTAATAAAGATTGCTGCTTCTTTTTTTTTTGGACCCGCAGATTCAACAGGCGAAAGGCTTTCACGTTGAAAATAAGAGAAAATAATTCTAGTAGTTACAAACATTCGTTGCTTTGTCCTTCTTCCTAGTATTTCGTTT